GATGTACCATGCCATGAAAGAGTTGTTCCATAAGAAAACCATACAGGCTGTGCATCGTTTACCAAACCCTGCCATGTTGCAAATTCAGGATCACACACTCTTGAAAGTTTGTACTTTCAAAGCATGATAGCAAAGCATGATAGCATCTGTCCCTTTTGATGCCCAAGCCATCACACAGGTATTATTGACAGACTTGTTTGACACTTCAGCAGATAGTTCCACACAACCTCAGTTCTGATCAGCACCTGATCCACAGCAGGATTAAACACGGCTCTGAGAAGGATCCTCTGCCGTAAGTAAACTTCTAGACATTGTCTTTTATTCCCAAGCTTCTACCAATTCATTCCTCCAGTAAAACCGAAATGGCAGTTCTCCTGGAAGCTGAATTTCTACATCCATGCAGAGGAAGGACAGCAGATTCACGGCAGAGGCTGATAAGCTCTGCTTGCAAAGTCAAAAGTACTGTTACCAACATAAGCATCTTCCCTATGTGAACCCCAGACAACTTATTGAGAAACCTTTCACTTATGCTGCATCAAAAAGCTTGTGAAGCGATGAAAAGTACAGGATTTGAGTTGTCTCTCTTTCTGGTAAATCATGGGAGGTTGCTGCTAGCTCCTCCTGGCTCTAGCTTCTCCCTCTAGTTTGAAAAACTTTTAAGGTGTTCTTCAGTTGTTAAGGTAGGAGTTTTTCAGAACAAACAGCAGGCTTTATCTTTGCAAGGAAATAAATCCAGAAAAAAATCTACAAACTTGCTGAGCAGCAACAATGTGGACAAAATCACTGAACATAAATCCTGCAGGTAAAGATGAACACCCAGTTTCATTCCTATCGGATCAAGATGCACACTTGTGCCTAGAGCACATTTGGGAAATCCACAGTAATTATTCATCCCTCCCTGGCCAATGCCAGAGAAAACACTCCCCTGCTCTCAGAGACACTAGCAACCTGTTTACCCTCGGACAAGAGGAGGTAAAAAGTTCCCTATCTTAGGGCAGCTCTGAAAAGCTTACGCCTTTGTTTATAATGTGGCAACTGTGGCACATGCCCATACATTAAGGTGTTAAGGATCTTCTCCTTTATTGATGGTATCCACATTAATTTCAGAATAGCGCCCCACAACACATTAGGATCAAAGCGGAACACATAAATATATTACAATTCATTTCAAGCATATATTATACCAAGGAAGCATTTTTATCCCATCCAGATCGTAACTTGCAGCAAAGATCTTGTTGATGCTACACACTCAATGCCTTTTATTACTTCAGCATTTTCTAATGCTGAAGAATAAACTCCCTTTAAAATATAAACAATTTTTTTTCCTCAATGCTCAAGTGTCCCGATACCATCAAATGGCATTTTGGAATAGGAGCCGCTGTGGTTTTGAGCACTGTTAATTGCCTGCAGTGACACAAGCAAGGGCTGAGCTGGGCGTGGGCAAGGGAGTTGTGCAACAGGCATCGTCCATTCCCTGCACATGATCTCGGTAAGGTTTGCTTTTCGAAAGTATCCAGAAAGCTGATTACACGGGAACAACAAAAACAGCCTGAATGAAGGCTGGGGATACTTCCATGTGCATGAGTGCCAATTTTAAAAGCGAATTTACACTTTGTATCTTGTTGGAAGCTTGTGTGGCTACCCCAAGTCTGTTAGAAGTGTGGCTCAGAAACTTGAGAGATCTAAATTTCAGAGACCCGCAAAATGACAGCTGGAGATCATTATCGTCATGCTCAGTTGCTATAGTTCACCTGGTTTGTTGTCTAATGCATGCAGCAGCAACAACAACAACAAAAGGGTTGCATGGTAGAAAATTGTGGCATCTAGTTTGGGAAGGAGAGAGGGAAGAGTGCAAGTAGGTAAGCTGCAGAGAACTATTTTCCCCTGTACCTCCAAAAGACACTGATCCCAGTGTGATCTGTGGAGGTCAGAAGGGACACAATTCACAACTGGCTTCTCTGAGGAAGCCAACTGCAGCAGAACCCTTGAATGCATTCAAGTTTCAGTAAGAGAATGAATAAAAAATAAGAAATCCCTGTTATTGGCATATTAATGAAAAACACACTATATGTATTTCAAGGCAATTGTAAGCTGACCCATTAGGATTGTTCCCTCTTACCACTGAAACAACTGAATGCACAACCAGAAGTAGGACATCACTAATTTCACTGAAAACTGACATCATGATTTCTTACTGAAGGACATTTCCATTTGAGCAATTCTTCCAGTAATTTTTCTCAACAGTATAAATTTTCTCATCAAGTATAAATTTACATACAATAAACCAAAACTGGAGAGTTTCCATAGGGGAGCAGACCTCCCAAACTGGCAGAGAAACTGCCTGGGTGGCTTAGCAAAACCATGCCTCAGCAGAGGTCCTCGTGTATCTTCATATTGAAAGGTGTTGAGATGTACAGTGTGGAAATGTTGATGATTACAATGGACACATCCTCTTTCTACTGCCTATACAGACTCATTACAAATACTAACATCTTGTTCTACAACTAAAAAACCCATATAATGGAATTTTACTCTGACTGGAAAATAAAACAGAAAAGGCTTGTGACCAAAACTGGGTTTGGTATTTATTACCCACACTGAAAATGTATTCTGCTGTTCTATATGAAACATTCAGAACAGCATAAAGTAAAACTTCAGAGACACGAAACAGCAATTTTCATGAAAGAAAGGCCCTCTAGCAACTTATCCATCCATCCGTCCATATGACTCAATTTTCCAACAGACAGTATCTTGGAACAGTGACCTGGGGTGCCTGTGCAGGAGGTTTTCTGCAGCAGGACCTCCCCATTCTGACTCCTCACATGAAGGAAGCCCAGGCTGAGGATCTGCTGCAGAGGAGGAAGCTCTGAAACAATTCCTGTAAATAAAGGCCTCCTTAGCAATGTGCTAACCCTCAAAGTTAAATACACACTCAGTGACTGCTCACTCCGGGCAACACCAGAGGTGTCAGACACTTTGTCCCGCAGGTGAAAGCCATTGCACTGTATTCATGGAAAGGATGGAAAGGAAAGCACGTGGTGGGAGCTGTAAGGTGATGAGTGAATGAGAAACCCGGGTGAGATCAAGAATCCGCCTCTGTCATTTCACTCCCCACAAAATTTTCTCTCAAGCCCCACCTTCACTGTTTTTTAATTCCTCTCGTTTCCCTCTCTCCTCCTCTGCACCCTTCTCTCACAGCTTTCTTACAGGGCCACCCAGTTTGTGGTAAAAGCCAGCAGAAATGAACTCATCCTCCGATGGTGAAAGAGCAGCTGTGCGAGAAGGGTCAGGGAGGGCCCCAGAGATGGGCATTTTAGTCACACACAAGCACCGAAGGTAATCCTGCACGGGACACACAGGAGCTACGGAGCCAGGGGCAGGCACAGCCTCATCACTACTCAGACGAGGTCAAGCATCAGCTAAATAAAGAGAAGCTGCAAATTAAAGAAGAATCTGCAAGGGCCAGGATTCATATGATAAAATGGTTGCTGTGGAAATGGTGAAGAAGCTGTATGACTTCCTGTGTCATGCCACGATTTCAGGGCTTTAGGCTCACCCCCATGGCCTGATCCCCTTCTCCAGTTTGCCTTGTACAGACTCAGATAAACTTTTAAATGAAGGAAAACCAGCCTATTTTGCTAATTTTGAGCTGTGGAAAAAATACAGTGAGGGTGTGTGTACATATGACTGATGGAAATCAAACCTCTGAAGTGCAGATTATTTTAATTATAGTCAGAAAAGCATGTAAGGTGCAAGTTTCAGCCAGATAGTTTCCATTCTGATCTTTAATTTTGTAGTAATAAAAATACTTGAGTGCCTCTGTCTAGCTGAAAGAATAACAAGTTGTCTGGTTTGTTATGGCAGCTGGGACACTAAGTAACAATATACACAAGAAGAAATTATATATATATCTGTACAAAATAAGGCATCACCAGCTCTCACTCGTGCACTCTCTCCACGTGTCTTTCACTGTAAGGCAGCCACTGAAGGGACAGGTTTAGTGAACAGGGCCATTGATTGCTTTCTCCCCCACTGATTTTCTTTGAAAAAGAACCAAGCTTCTAGAGGTTTCTAAGACGTGCTTGTGAACTTGCAAAACACACTTGACAAAAGTCTAGCAAGCGATCCTCCAAACTCCAACAGATGTAAGCAAACTACATTGCAAATAGGCTTTACCCTTTCCAAGGTGTTATGGTGAGACCTCAGGGTATAATAAGTATTAGTAGCTAGATCACAGATTTGCTTCCACAACATATTCATTCTATTACTGACTTAGTGAAATGATGAAAGGATTATGGCTTCAAACGTCTTCAGTGGAAAGCGCTATTTTAAAATTGGACATATTTTGGCAGTTTCAATTGCAGTCAAGATCCTCCAACCCCAACGTGGTGTTTGACTGCCTCTCTTTCTACCTTAAGTGATTTTTTTATACATATAAATGCTACTAAACCCACACCTTTAAACTCCATATAATGGTAGTGATTGTATGCATATAAAAACCTGACATACACCAAATTCTTCATGTAGCTGTTTGCATAGCTGGTTTGTATTCCTTTGTGTTCTTCAATCTATTGTTCAGAGAAACTGGTGTTTCATTTCACAGTTAAAGGACCTGAATTACTTGAATTGTAAAGACATGAAAGGCAAGGGAAGGAGACAAAACATGTCTCCCATTTTAAACTCATCAACAAGCTAATTCAATAGTGTAACTTGAAAGTACAGAAATCTGAAATCTAGTTCTGAATGTCTTTTTACCTCTCTCTCAAGAGATATTACTCAGGTTTAGTGTGACATTTCAAAATGTCACCATGCCTATCTCAAAACCAGATATTTTAACACAGAATAGATACCTACATGCTTTAATTCTGAACCCATTCTATATGTGACAATATCCTAAGAACCTCTTCTAAGAAGTTTCTACTTATCAAATATTAGTTAAATAGTCTTGTCATTCCATGACAAAGATCCTTATTGAGCTGGAAATAAAGACAGACTCAAACTTTGTTTTATTTTTTAATAAAGTTTAAATAGTTAAAGTAAGAGGAAAGAGTATCTTTTAAAGCCAAGCTATTTCTTTGTTCCATGCTAGGCCTTAAAATCGGATTTACCGGCAAATACGGGCCATGAGAAGAGCTGTATACTTAAAATGCTGGTGTAGAACATATTTAAATATTCAGTGACTCACTCTAGATTACCTTAAAACAAAGGAAACACAATCGCTACAGTTTTTGAAATGTATTGCCTCTTATCCTGATTAATGGAAAAATTATCCCTACAAAAGATTTTTTTTTTTTAATATGAAGACTCTACAAAATATTTGCTTTATCCACTGGCAGGACTTTGAAAATCTCCAAAATATTTAGATATGTGTGCCTAAGGAAGTTTATAAATGCCAATCCAACACTGTAACCAAAATTCCAAACAGAACTGGAAATTAGGATAACTCAACTAAATCATCCCACCATAAGAATATTATATTTCAATTCTGCATAAACATAGACCAGCATGGTTTGTTTTGTTTTAAAAATTCTTCATGTCCTGCAGAATACAGCATAGGTTTGTTTCATTAGTACCTTTACCCTTCCATTTCCTTAATGCTATTTCCTCATTAACATTTAAAACAGTATCTAATCTGCCTACCGACTTTTTCTGCCCTCAGGGCTCTTCTTAGCCTCAACCCTATCCTCACCCATGGAGATCTTTCCCATCTTGCTTCAGAAAGAGGTTTTTGTTCATTTGACTGATTTTAATTTTCTTGTTTTTCAGATACAGGTAAGTATCCTACCATAAAGGGAGCATGGAAACGAATGGGAACAACACTGGGAATTACCAGAACATTTACAAGCCAAGACTGTGAATAGGAGCTTTGATAGCCACTGTTTTTGAAAGAAAAATGTCATGCTTTCTTTATATCGGATAATATTTGACAGATTGGATAATATGTCTACTATAAACATAATTTTGTGCCACAAACAGCCACAAACTGCAGACAAAGCAACAGAGCAGAGAGTTTGATGAATTTAGTGTAACACAAAAAAAAAATTGGTAGAGTTCGAGTAGCATCTGCAATGGTAGCAAACATTTAGAAACCATAATGATCCAATAACCTAAAAATACATCTGCTACACTAAAAAAAAAAAATCTGTGCAATGAGATTAGAAGCTTCCAAAATTGTGGACTGATTGCTCAGGGACCGCAGATGTAAGAAAGTATTAGCTTAGAAAAGCCTCAGCTTTCCAAAATTCAAAATCATTAAAAAGCAATCTGCTCATCATTCTATGATTTAACTATTTCCTAGTCTATGGGAATACACAGCAGGATACAATCCTGTTTGCAACATCCATGTAGCTTATTAAAAAAAAAAAAAACAAAACAACAACTTTTTAAAGTAAATTAAGAAAATATATTCTTAAAGAAAAAAAAAAATTAGATTAGCACAAAGAAATGCCATGATGAATCCTGAGACAAATTATCCTACATCATTGCTAGTCTATGAAAACTGTTTTGAATAATAAACACACTGCAGTATTCAGTGACAGCATACAAAAGTATTTGTAATTATTAAGTTGTGCATGTTTTTAACTGACAAAACATGCTCATGGGCTTATGTTAAAATCTCTCACTGCTTGTTATCAAAGTTAAAAGATCATTTGCATACCAATACATATACTGTAAACATGAACTTCTCATTAAGGAAAGATGGATTTACAGTAATTTGATCTTTTACAAAAAGCTATTGGTAACCAAATCTCTCAGTGTCTAACTTTCTAGAAAATTAAACCAATGTTTCCACCCTCAAAGCTGAAACACTACCTCTTTAGGAAACAGCCCTGTTTATTTGTTAATCAGAAATACAATCAAGTGGCATATTTCCATTTGCTCTTCGGCTGACAGTTTCAGCTTCATTATATTTTACAAGAAAACAGCAGACTTGCAGAAGTCCTGTAAATTCTTTCATATCGCAACTGATTTAATTACAGCGGTGAACAAACGCAGCAGTGATGCAAAATAAGATCAGCCCAATTGCCCTTATCTGATGATAGGATCTCTCTTCCTGTTTGGCTTACAGCAGTGAGGACTTCTTGTTTTGTTTCGGCTTTTTGTTGGTTTCTTTTTTTTCTGGTCAGGCTGCCTCTGTTAAGACTGACAGAAGCAAGAAGTTGACATGCCCTTAGAATTCCAGCTTGAGAATGATCCTCATAGGAATATAGCTGAGTTTCAATCAGTAGGTCGGGGAATGATACTAATGTGGAGAAAATTATCTGGATAGCTCATATGTTCACTTAGCCACTGAATGGGTGTTTCCAGCATTGGCTCAATTCCATGAATCATCACTTGAGTCTTCTGCTCTCCATCTAATTCAAAGAAAAAGAGAAACCACTAGTATACCATTCAAAGTTCACAGAAAGATTAAACATTTACTCATACTTAATTTACGGTAGATTTAATTGGTGTTACGGAGTTTAGCATTTAACAGAATGAAAAGTAGGAAATACAGTGTGGAGAAAGCTGAGACTTGTATCATCTAAAACAGAAACTTTGAGTTAAAATTAATTCCAAGAAAAAAGTGGAATTACGTGAAACTTAATGAAAGTGCTACTCTTCTTTATTACTTGCAAGAGGGTTTTTTTTTAACCTTACAGTGATCCCAGCTTGTTGTCAACCCAGTTAGGGCACATCCATCTCACCCAGCTGTAAGGCATATGAATTTTACACAGATCATGCTTAAAATGTTGAGCTTCCTAAAACATACCAACACGTTGTACTCTTAATACTGTGATCTCCTGAAAGAGCTGGACTGTGTGTAATATCATACATGTACTATTCCTGAAGTAATTTTGTTTTGCTAAGAATAATTTACATAAATCACCAGCAATATTTCAGAGTTACTCCAAAGGCAGAGCTGGCACCAGCTTTTTCTCACTTAGTTTCATCTCTTGGAAAAGCTAAGCTAGCAAATGGTTCCCAGTATAACAAGAGTTTTTTCTAAGAATATTTCAATTCTTTTTATTTATACTTGTCCCGGAGGATACAAGTACTTTGATCCTTTGATTCAAATGATGGGAACCAGCTAAAGCAACTGACACAACAGTCATGACATGAACTAAAACAACAAAAAATGAAAATTTATTTCAGAGACAAGGGATTAGAAGAGCATATGAAATATGCTTCAAATAATGGTTAGGGGGGAAAAAGTAGGCAGTGACCTTTCACTCATTTTATTCTATACTATGGCATTCTCACATGGACCTACCACAGTGAAATCCACATTCAGTACTCAAAAGTATTACTGCGTCCACACTAATTGACATTTTATGTCCCCCTCCAGTGAATTTATTACAGAACAAGCCACCATCCTCACCAAGAGCAAAATCTACAAGTGTATGTACCTCTACTGGTTCTTTCATTCAGCAGCCCCAGTTGTAGTGTAATTTCTATTTTATAACACGGATAAAAACACATTTGTTTGGTAGTGAAAATGACTTGACAGCTGCCTGAAGAAGTTTGTAGTATAACCAGTTATCCATGCCCACACAGCTAAATTACACTGGTAAAAAAATCATCCTTAAACATGTAGTTGACTTTATGCTAGTAATAATTCTTCCTGCAAGAGCAGACAGTTATGTATGCTTAAAATAAAGCATTATACTTTTGTTACTTGTTACCTACATATGGAATATTCTGTACAAAGTCTTGATTCTCTAAATGGCATAATACACACATTATCACACTAAATTAAGCATATGAACACTTGCTGGTTTCTGGTTTTATTGCAGACGAGTCTGAAGAACAAAGCACATCATTTAAAAACCAGCTTCTGGTGTTTCAAGCCAGAACAGGTATCTATTGGGCTGAAACAATCCCAGTCAAATTGTCAAGAGAATAAGCTCCAAAAGAAAAGATCTCAGAAACCCAACTGCGGTGGTGCATTCAATCATTTACAACACCAGTTTTCTTTTTCCTTAGAAGTTAGTGAACATCTAAGTATTTTTAAGTAACCTCCAAATATATGTATTTAACACTTTAAAATTAAAACCTACCTATGGTATTCCTTAAAATGGTGTGAGTTAGTGACCTTTTTCCATGTTTCATAGTACTATTTAATTTTCAGAAACAACTAATTTGCATAAAACCAGATGACAGAATGCATCTGACCCTTTTTAGCCAAAACTTGCAAAAAAAAGAAAGATTAAAAGCTTCAGAACCCAGTATCATTTCCTTATTTATAAGGAGGAAATGCTTATAAATAAATGATAAACATTTTCTTTGGCTCTTCCATTACTGTGCAACGTAATATTTTTGTATGTGTGTGCATGTGCCTACTCTTGCTTAAAAATGAAGTGCAGGTAATCTTGGTGTCTCCGTTCCTTACCCAGCTTTGTCCTTTTCTCATACAAGTCTTTTATTCTGTTCCTTGGCAAACTGAGAAAGCCTCAGAGGTCAATGAAGAATTTACAGTTTAATTAAAATCTAATCTCTGCATTAGCATTGTTTGTGCTTTAGTATTATCTCTGACAAAGCATCACTTCTCCCTAATTCCTTTTCCCCTTGAGGCTTGACTGAAGAGATCTTATCTCCCAATTCTGTATTTACTGCAGCCTTCTTTCACAAAATCCATTGTTTTTACTTCAACATTCTTCTCTCCTTTTGTTACTAGGAACTATAAACTCTCACTTAAGGCACATTTACCCAAACTTTCCTCAACTTTCATGTTTTCCATCACACATCCGATTATAAATTACAGAGTCTCTCTCATAAAAAGACTCTTCTCTACTTTTTGTAGCAAAAAGTTGTAAACAGCAAATACACTAAAAAAATTACTGAAGAGTATTCTTGTTTTGTCAACGGCTAATTCTTATCCATTTCCACTGTGATCTGAGTCCTGAATGATTTGCTAGCAATCATGAAAATTTCATCCACCTGTTTTAGAGATACGATAGATTAACAGATTTACAAAATTATTTTCTTTCCATGATCTTAGATGAATCTTGACACACCAACTGCTGTCCTTCCCCACCCCACATTCTATGATCACAAGAAGCCTTTTTAAACTGACAAAATGCATCTACAGAGTGTACAAGTTGCTAAACACAACATGTATTTAAATTAGTGGTATAAAATTTAAACGACCTAATTACAAAGAGCAATGCCACTCTGTATCATTGAATAATGCCTGTGAAAATTAGGGCAAATAACTCTGCTCATCGGTAGTGCATAGGGTCCAGACCTGATGATATCATTGCTGTCAATACCCATTCTACAATGTTCAGTAACAACGTAGTGAAAAAACCCCCAGGATTTCCTCAAAACCACTAAATTCTCCGGTAACCCCATCAACTTTTTTTGTCCTCTTAAAATCCTGTCAGAATTGTTACATGTTATTTATCACATGACCTAAGATTTTTTTTTTTCCGGCTTTGCTGCAAATTACTCTTGGGAGTAAGATGAAGTGAAAATACCAGAAAAATAAAAGCATAGCAAAATATGTTTTGTAAGTTTTCACAGTGATACTTAAAATCAGACTATTTCTATATTACTGAAGCGATGCACAAGTAACAAACACTGTTTTGGCATTTGCAAAAACAACCCTCCAAAAACTCTGAAAACTAATGAAGTCATCTATCAGAGTGGTTGTCCCAAGATTAAATTTTTTTTTCGCTTGCGTTGTGGAGCTGTATCAATAGAGAAGGTACTATAGCCCCGCCAAGTTACTACAGGAAAGCTCTAAGCACAGATGATAAAGCTTTTTGGTGAAACTTAACAACATTCCATCTTCAGAAGGCAGATAAATATGCTTACATGTTATGTACTAAGACACTTTTGAGACATTCAGCTCACTTAACTTAGACCCTAACTCAAGGCTGCAATACAGGGTTGACCAGACCCAGGCTAATTAATCAGATCACGTCAAGTCAGAAGAGTTTTCCAGCTCTGTACAGAAAATGGAGAGAAACAAGAACCTCTGAAGTGAAGGGCTTAAGAAGACGCCTGCTTTTCTGTCACATGTAAGGAAGCTCTGTGCTCCTGATGAGGAAACCACAACAAGAAAATACTGGCAAAGGCCTCTCTTTTGCAGATAGGCATCTGCTGGAAGGAATCAAGAGAGTGGCTTGTTGCATCTCAAGTGAATCCTTGAGAGAGTGGCTCAAAGCCCTCCTCAACCTGAGGCAGCTTGAGTCCACTCTCTTCTTTAAGGGGAATGACCTAACTACAATATTCACTGTTGCTAATCCCAGCTTCCTTTAAAACCCCTCAATATCCAGGAGTCAGAGAGACACAGTGGAAGAACAAACAAGAAAATGTTTGACTTCAGAGGTGTCACGGAATCACACAGTTTTTCTCTTTCCTTCTGCTACCTAAGTTGTTGCTTGCAAAGTAAACTACTCAGTATTAGGAAAATTAGCTTATTCAGCATCAATTCAGATTGTGGCACATAGCCAGTGATGCATCTGAATAAATTTTCCTACTGAGTTACACTATTATTTAAAAGAAAGAACTGAAGATGGAGATACAAGATTGGTTCAGTTTTCAGACAGATTCAAGTGCCTGAGAGCAGATCAGCTAGAAGGCCTGCTTCTATTACAGGTACTTATTTCAGTTTTTTACCCAGATTAGCACCTCAATGCTCACCACTGCTGCAGTGACATACTTCCTTTCACCTACACAAGATCAGCTCCTCTCGCCAGACTACATCTGTGATGTACCACTTAAAATTCTTTAGTGGGTTGAAATACCTCCCTTCTGATTTGTGGCCTCAAGCAATCACCTGTCAGGGCCATTTAGCAGGCTTAAATCTCTTAACCGATAGACAATACAAGATATTCAGGCTTTAGCAAAAGTGCCGCTGGAGTACTCAATTAGAATCCTCAGTATGCAAGTTCTCTGAATAGCAAGTCCTAGAATCTGCCTGTAGTCAAGAGGCAGCACCACTTATAAAATTGGCTTTACAACTCTAAAAAGGCAAATAGAACCGGGTACTTCAAATTAAGGGAAACAATGCATTCCTTGTACGGTACAAGGACACTAAAATGTGTAAGGTGTAAACACAAGCAAGTTTCATGCAGTAGCAGCATTTTAATAGTGCAACATAACTTGATGCCAGCTTTTCCAGCTGTGAAGTGGGCCATAGACATTTGGTTGTTTATCTTCAGAAAATATCATATGCTCTGGAGAAGATGATACTAAAGGTATTCCTGACAATAGGCTATACTATATTGTAGGAAAACTCATCTTGGAACAGCATTATAAGGAGCTTTTTGTGACTGTGGCGTGGCTGCTTTCCTCCCCATTTCTTCTGCTCCTCAGATTATCTGGCAGGAGAACAGTGTGTGCTCAGCACCTGGTGCCCCGGACA